AGCCCACCCACAAAGGTGAGGCCCCTGGAGCAGGACAGCCAAGCCCTCCGCTACCTCTAATTTGGGGTGTGGAGAGATTCCTTCCTTTAGCCATTCATTCATTTAGCAAATTTTTATTGGGCACCTATGACTTGTCAGGCACTGTCCTCAGCACTGGGAATATAACAGTGAGTAAAATGAATCAAAATCCCACCCCTCCTGGAGCACAGTCAGGGGAAAGGGGGTGATAGACAACAGTCATACAAACAGACACAGAGGCTGAGCCCTCTGTACCCAGTCCTGGGTCCCCAATGTCCTCTGGGGGATGCAACGATCTTGAGTTGGTAGACTGGCTCCCTGGAACCCCAAAGGTTTCTTTGACCCTCACTCAGTATGTTCTTGATTTCCTTGCTGCATCCACCATCGTGAGATATTTGCCAAGAAGCCTGTCTAATAATGCCTCACCCACTCATAACTAAAGCTGGGAGATGAGAAAGCTCCGAAGCCCAAGAGCTTTGGGAACGAGTATCTGTCTTGGTGTGTGAGAAAGTCCCTGCCCCTTATTTTGGCCAATTCCTTCTGGTACTCAGGGGCTGTGAGAAGCAAACCTGCCCATGAAGAGAGAACAAAGATCACTCAGAAGACTTGCATCCTTACCTTAGAAAATGGGCTGTTTCACATGTTGTGTGTGCCATCTACACAGTATTGGAGCTGACAGTGAGCTGGTTGCATATAGTGAGCTTTGCGGTGGGGAGGGTACTGGCCTGGGCGTTCAAAGGTGTTTATGTTACCCCAGTGATCCTGATGGAGCACATGCCCCCAGAGCCCCAGATTCCCAGAGTAAATGAGGACCAGGGCCCAAGGTCCTTTCCAGTTCTGACATGCTCTCATTCTTTGATTTTATTACATACACATGATTTTTTGTTGTTGCTTTAAGAACTAACCCTACTCAAGATTATTTTCTTTAGCTTGCTTAAAAAGAAAAAAAATATTTAATGAACAAATATGTGGCCAATGCAATGCCAAGGAGACAATCATCATATATCTTTATAATTTTTTTCCTGCTCCTGAGAGTCATTCGACAATGCCAGTAGGCTCATTCCGTCGGGTTTCTGCATTCGGGTTTGTTTTGGTTGCTTTGGTTTGTCGTGGGGGAGAGACATTCTTATGCAGCTACCTCCATGTCAGTGAACTCCTGATCAAGCAAGATTGCTTTCAATAAACGGTGTCACCTGACTGGAATCTCAGCTCTCCCGTTATTTTGACTTACTTGTTTTCTCCAGAGCTTTGCTCTGTGTCTGCCAAGATATAGCCAAAGTGAATGGCGGGGAGCTACTCGAGGAAGTGAAGTAGGGTGGCATTCCAGGCCCCAGACCAGGCTCTGAGACGGCAGGGTGGGGAGTGGGCCAGTGGTGAGCACCGAGAATTAGTGATCCTGGGTGGCTGTGATGTTCTGAGATTGCAAACTGTCCATTTCCAGCAAACGGAGAAGTGTGTTAATAATAGAATAAAGAGGCAGCTCCTGTTCATTCCTTGTTCCTAAACTTGTCACGGTTTGCCCATAATCTCTTGATCTACAGCAGGCTGACAGTAGGTACCATGGTCTCCATTTTTTAGGAAATGAAACTACTTCTCTGTGGAAAGGACCTACACTGCTCACTCTCTGTCCTCGGACCCATTTTCTGGCCTGTCCTCTTGAGGAGGGTCCCTCGTGACTGATGACTGCTGTGGTTGGGGTCAGCTGATGGGAGCAGGTGGATGGAGGTGGGCATTCCTCGGCTGTCACTCCCCTGCTTTGTGCAGCGTTTCAGGCTGTGGCTCCTGTCTGTGGGCCCCCTCGGGCCTGCAGCTTCCATTGACGTGGACAACGTGGGTGACCAGACCTCCTCCCGCCTCCAGTTCTCCGGATGGTCATGGCTTCCTGCTGCTGTTCTGGGTCCCTCAGCAGCCCTGGTGGGTTCTCACAACTCTGCCTGCCCTGCAGGGCAACACTTTAAAAAAAAATGTTTTTATTGATTTTAGAGAGGAAGGGAGAGGGAGAGAGAAACATCGATTTGAGAGAGAAACATCAATTGGTTGTCCCCCTCCTGGAGATGGAGCTACAACCTGGGCATGTGCCCTGACCTGGAATCCAACCAGTGACTTTCGGTGCATGGGATGACACTCAACCAACAGCCACACAAGCCAGGGCTGCATTATTTTTTTTTAGAGTTGGGTTTATTGAGGTATCATTTTATTGCTTGTAGTAAAAGGGGCCCTTTTTGGTATTATTTACTTTGAAGCTGTATTTAGGCCTCTCTCTTTGGCCCCTCTGCCAGGGCCGTGGGCGGAAGAGTTCTGAGAGCTCACCCCTTCCTCCGGAGCCCAGAATCAAAGGGAAGTCTGTCCAGGCCTGCAGCTCTTTCCTTCATATTTTTTGGCATTCTTTCTTTGAAATTGAGGATCCTGTCTTTGTTGGAGACAGTTATTAGCCAGATAATTTTGTGTTCTAAGTTTTCAAATCATAGGGGAAAATGACTCGACAGTAAGTTCCTATCAGGGGCTTAACCCCCAAATCCAGAAATTCCAGTCTTTGCAGAGATATCAGCCTGACCTGGCCCTGCTCTCAGAACTGCTGAACACACAGTGCTGAAAATCATCACAGTCATTTATACACACAACCTGAGACCCAGCCTGTCTCCATCAGCAAAGCAAGGATTAAGTGTGAGCCGCACGCTGGGTTTATGATGGTTGTAAAGTGCGCAGTGTGGTTCCAGATGACATTTACAATAGTACCTATTCTTTGGGGGGACGTTTGCAAGTTTCCCGGTGTGCGGAGTCTCACTCGGTCTCACAACAGATTGTCAACAACTCCTCCGTGACTCCAGAGGTTTTCTGGGTAAACAGAATTGAACGGTTTTATGAGAAAGGCAGGCACTGGCAGGTAGGGAATCTGAGGCTTGGAGGAAGTTGGGTGTTTTCTGTAGCCACATCTGGAGTAAATAGCCAGGAGTAGAACCTGCCACCGTGAGCCAGGTGCAGAGGCAGATAGCAGATTGAAGTCGCAGTCTAGGACCTTCACAAGCTTCCAGTGTAATTATAAAAATGGAGAGTATTAAGCTAAGTGGAAATTAGATATAAATATAAGTCATAGATTTATAGCATACCAAATTTGTCTGTTTTCCCTTCTGCTTGGCTAGCTCACACTGTATAGTCAGTGCTGCGTT